GGAGTTTCCCATGGAGGGATGGGGTCCAGGGCTAGGCGATTGCTGTGCCCAGGAGAGGCTTGGGAGCTGAACCTTCAAACCCTATCAGTTACACTTGCTTGAATAGCAACATGTCTCTGACAAGAGTCCCAGGGTCTATACTTATTTCTTCTCACTAAGTTCATAGAGCATCCTTATTAACCAATGTTTCAAACTCTGCATCTAGTAGATAGCTTGCCTCCATTTTGTTTAGTTCTTTTTCTGGAGTTTTGTTCTGTTTCATTTCGAGCATGTTTCTTTGTCTCCTCATTTCGGTAGCTTCCCTGTGTTTGTCTCCATGTATTAGGTAGAGCTACTAGGTCTCCCGGGCCCCATAAAGTGGCTGAATGTAGTAGGGTCCTACAGGATCAGGTGGCACAACCTCCCTGTTCACCCGAGTGGACACTCTAGATGCTCGCCCCTCCCCACTGTGTGGACTGTGTACACCCTCCTGTTGTAGTTGAGTCTCGATTGCTGTTAGCTCGTCATTGAGAGGAATTTACCCTTAGGCTGATCAGCTGCAAGGACTGGCTTCAACCACGGAGGCTCAGCTGTACAAGGGCCCACCCCACAAGCAGGACTTACTTCATTCAGGTTCTGGTGCCCCAAGTCTCCCGTCTGAGTGTGTTGCTTGTGGGAATGTTTGGATGGTGCTTTGACATGGTCTGAATTTGTCTACTGGGCGCCACAGCTCTGGGGCCTCTCAGGAGGTGCATGCCATGGTCAGCCACTGCCTGTGCTCTGCCTGGGGCCTCCTGCATGACCTACAAAGCAATCTGCAGATGGTTGCTACATGTGCTTGGCTTGGAGGCACCCAGGAGAGGCCAAGCGGTGAACTAAGGCTGGCTGCCCTTAGCGCCAGGCCTGGGGCCACTGTGAGAGGTATGCAGCATGCTGAAGCCAGATGCTGCTTGTTTGAGACATTTTAGAAAAGTCTGAGGCATGAGCCAAAACAGGACATTTGTAGGGAAAAGCCACTGGAAACAGGTCAGCTGCGCCAACAAGTAGGGTTAGTTGGCGGGGGTGAGGGGGCAGGGAACCCAGGATGGGGCAAACAGTGAGAACTGGGTTGGTTGGGTTGATGTAGCCTTAGACACGGGGCCCACCTCAGTCTCGATGTGGTGTCTTCTTTGTATCCTTAGTTGAAGGACTTCCATGCGGCTGGATTTCAGGCAGTTCTGCTTGATGGTTGTTCAGTAGTTTAGTTGTAACTTCGATGTCTAAAGATTCTTCTAATGCATGCTAAAAAGCTAAACAGAAGTATTTTGTCTGTTCTCATCTTTGTGTGGTGGAAACTCATTTGCCCTGGAAAGTTTTCAACTGTGTAAATAATTGTTTGTTCTTTGAAAGACTATATCCTTTTCTTTTTAAAAATTTAGATACAGTGGACATGTAACATTATATTAGTTTCATGTGTACACCACCCTCATTCCTTATTTTACCCTGCTTAGTAAGCCTCAAACTCAGGTTTGTATTCTTTGCTCTCACCGAGCTCGTTTCTGCTCTAGGCTTATTCACAGGTGCTTCCTTCTGCCTGGCACACTCTCCCCCCGACATTTGCATGTCCAATTCCTCCATGTTCCTCCATATTAAGAAGAACTTCACTTCTTCAGGGTTCTCCACGGATCCTCTGGTTGTTTCCTTTTCCTACCTTATTCTTATCCTGTTTTTCCTCAAAAACTAAAACAACAAGACATGTATGCTGCTTCTTAGGTGTCAAATATTATTCTGTTCACAACTGTCTCATCGGTAGTTTTATTGTTATCCCCTTGTTAAGAACGAGGCAACCTAGACACACATGGCTAGAAAGTGGCTAAGTTGGATGTGACCCCAGCTGACTAGCTTCTTTTAACCACTGTGCTGTATCCTGCCTATCTGTAGACAGTTCCAATAGTGACAATTTGGAATAATTGTATTAATTAATTTATTTTTATCGTTGTCTATTTTTTGGTTTCTTTTTTGTTTGTTTGTTCCTCCCAGAACAGAAGCTCCAAGAAGTCAGGGACCATTGACCACTGATGTCTCATTGGTCATTGATTTCACAATGCCTACTATTATACCTAGGACATAATGTATACTTCATATAACTACTGTTTAATAATGTAATGAATGAGCGAGAGTAAGACAACACAATATTTATGCTGACAAAGTTGGTAAGAGTTTGGTTTAAGGTACTAAGTCACAGAATACAATTTTTCCTACATATTTACGAATAAGAAATTTCCATAGGTAATTGGAGGCTGCTAGGATAAGGAAATACGGAGGAACTCTGGCTGGTGTGGCTCAGTGGGTTGAGCACCAGCCTGAGAACCAAAGGGTCACTTGTTTCGATTCTCAGTCAGGGCACATGCCTGGGTTGTGGGCCAGGTCAGGCCCCCAGTAGGGAGCGTGTGAGAGGCAACCACACATTGATGTTTCCCTCTCTCCTCTTCCCCCTCTCTAAAAATAAATAAAAAATATATAAATTAAAAAAAAGAAATATGAAGGAACCCTATTTCCAGGAATGGTTTAAGAACTGATTTTCTACATACTTGTCATTGATATGTCTATATATCTAAATCTACCTATATTTATCTACGCCGGTACTCCTACCTATATTTCTATCTTTATATCTTTTTTAAAGATTTTATTTATTTTCAGAGAGAGGGGAAAGGAGGGAGAAAGAGTGAGAGAAACATCAATGTGTGGTTGCCTCTTGCGTGCCCCCCACTGGGGGCCCAGACTGCAACCCAGGCATGTGCCCCCACTGGGAATCGAACTGGTGACCCTCTAGTCTGCATGCCGGCACTCAATCCACTGAGCTGCACCAGCCAGAGCTCTATCTTTATATTTTATATACATGAATATATGACATATATAGGAGAACAAGAGAACTGTAGCTGTGCAATACAAGAAGAGCCTGGTGTACAGTATAAGAAAATAAGTTTTCTTTCTCCAAGTTAAATACCTCCATAGAAAGGATCAAAGTTGTAATAAGCAAAATATTACAGTGTTATAATAGTGTACGGTCTGATGAAGTCAGACTGAATGTATTAATAAAAGTGTATCAGTCAGAAAAATGGTACAGATGGAGCATAGGGAACGTGCAGCAATGACACTTAGAAAAAGGAAAGTCCCGGAGGCAAACTGCATTCTTTGTTCTAGCCAAAGGAAAGGGAGACACAGGCATGTACTCCAAGTGTTGTGATCCTCTGTGGAGTAAGCGATGGGCCAGGAGCATTCCAGGAAGAAGGCAGTTTAGCTACCTGCAATTACAGGTTTGACTTCCTTTCTCTCCAGCAGTTCCTGACTGTTCATCACTGTGATAGAGGGTGGGCATGACAGGAACACACAGGAGGGGCTTCTCAATTGCTGTGTGAGGTCAAGGCAGCATCGGTGACATAATGTGATCATTATTTCTGCTTCTTTCCCAGGTCGGATTCATGGTGGTTGCAAGTTTCAAGAGTTTTCTTTTTTCTCTGTTTCTTTCACTTATCAGATAATATTATGTTGTAATTGTCAGCGTCTGGAGGGAAGCTTTCTTGTCTGTTTCAGAGGCAGTGAAAATCACACCCGGAGAGTCTGTTTATTGGTCAAGGCTTTGTAAGGGCATTGCCATGTGCCTTTCCCCCCACATCATCAGCAACTGTCTTTTTCTCTTTACCATGAACACAATGATGGGAGAGTTGAGTCCTGCTTTCAAGTTAGAAAACTCATGCGTGTGAGTGTGTGTGTATGTGTGTGTGATGCACAACTCCTGACCACTGAGAAATGGTTGTGGAATAGCTGCCACCCAGGAGAGAGGGCAGGAACAAGTCAGACCCTTGGTCTATTGATCCCACAGCCTCCTAGCTACTCAGAAATTGCCCTTCTCTTCCTTTCCTCTAGTTTGTTCTCTATCCTCATCTCTTCTCTATTCTTTATCCTTTCACTTCCCAACTTTGCCTTCACCTCCTCTTGTGACTTTCATCATCACTCTTCATCTTGACTAAAGTGGCTGTTTTAAGAGCATAATATTTAGCTGCTGGGTCTGTATTAGAAATGAATGAAGGTGAAGCCAACATAATGATCTAGTTCAGGGTTATGATTCAATTTTCACTTTATCACTTAATATTGCCTGACTTTGGGAAATCACTCAACTTTATCTTTTCACCACTTGTAATTTGGGGATAATAGTTTTTACCTCAGAGAGTTGTTGGGATTGGAGAGAATGCGTGTGTCATTCTCCTTGGTGCATGGTCTCAAGAACTGTTAACTCTTGTTATTTGAAAAAATATTTATTGTAGGGTATTATTGATACTGTGTTTAGGAAACTTGATGCAGTTTTTCTCATTGAACAATCCATAGAGTAGACCTACTGGGGCAAGAAACAATGCTACCTAGAGGCTTCCTGGGTGCATGCGTCAGTATTGATCTTGTGATAAACTGGACACAGAAAGCTCAGACCAAGGCAACGAATCTTTAGCAATCATTTTCCTCAGGTGGAAACAAGCTTGTTGAGTATGGAGTGAACCAGGACAAGGTAGGGAAGAGGAAGAGGGAGGAAGAGAGGGGGCGGAAGCTGGCGCTTTGGGGCGCATCTGGCAGGCTTTGGAAGCAGAGCATTTGGGAGCAGGAGGCTGGGGCAGAATGCTGAGAGATCAGACTAGAAGGATGCCCCAGCCTGGAGCCCTTTAGTTACCGTTTGCTTTTCTTTGAGGGAAGGCGTGGCATTCAGACCATTTGTAGAGCTCAGAATCCTGTGGCAGGGGCGCCCACCCAAGCAAAACGCTCTGGGAGGAACTCCCGCCCTGCAGGGAGCCCAGCTGGGCAGGCGGGGCAGGGCGGAGGCTCCTTCCCAGCTCCCGTCCTGCCTAGTCCTCCTCCTCGGCCTCCACCCAGCGCGCCCCCGGTGCAGTCGGTGGGGGCCCTGCGCGCCCCTGGTGGGACTCCTCAGGATGTTTCCTTCGGATCCTTCTCTCCTCCCCTTGTGCTGACTCCACCCGCCTCCCCGCCCCCGGCTGGGTCCGGCCTGGAAGTCACGGGGGGAGTTGGCCCGGGACTGCATCATTCTGCACTTGCTGCAGCGCAGCCAGAGGGAGCAGGTGGAGCAGGCGAGAGGAGAGCCCCAGCGTGCAGGGTTGGGGAGACTGCAGTGACGCTGCCTGGGAGACATGGCGGCCGGCGCCTCTGAATAAGCAGAATACCGAGCCCCTCGCTGCCCCGGCCCCCGCAGCCAGGGCCATGCCACATGGCCGCTGACCGCACGCAGGGGCCGGCCCAGAGGACACAAGCTGCGGCTGCCGCCTAGTCCCTGATCCTCGCCCCTGCATTCCTCATGTTGCATTTCACGTCAGTTTCTTGGGCAGGGTAGCCGCCGCCGCCAGAGGAACAGCCAGGACATCGCTCTGCTTGTTCATCCCGCCACACTTTGCTTTTCCATTTTTTTCCTTCCCTCCCCATTTCTTTCTCCTTTACCCCACCTGCTTTGCCTCCGGCTCCCGATCCTGTGACCCCCTCTGGCCTCCATCCACCGGGGCTATGGCCGCAGAAGAGGTATTGCAAACTGTGGACCATTATAAGGCTGAGATAGAGAGGCTGACCAAGGAGCTCACAGAGACCACCCACGAGAAGATCCAGGCTGCCGAGTACGGGCTGGTGGTCTTGGAAGAGAAGCTGACCCTCAAGCAGCAGTATGACGAGCTGGAGGCCGAGTATGACAGCCTCAAACAGGAGCTGGAGCAGCTGAAAGAGGTGAGTGGTTGGCCGTCACCTCTTTCCTCCTCGGCCCGGTGCCCCTACCCTCACCGCCCCCTCATCACTTAAAGAAGTCGAAAGGATGCTATGGAAAGGATTGTTTCTTCGTCTTAGAGCCCTTTGTTGATAAGAGAAGATTGAAAGAGTCTATTGTTTTCCCCACAAGAGAAAAATTGCCCAGGAAATGAATGTATAAACTGGAATTTGGGAGGCAATGACTGTGGGGGAGGGAGAATTATAAGAGTCTTCTAGTCTCAGCACTGGAAGGGGACATTCAACTGGGTTGGAATGTATTAATCAAACTTTACAAAACTGCTGTTATTGCAAACCCCGGTTTCGGTGATAATCCCACAGTCCACAAAGGCGATGAGTGGATGTGCGTCGAGGACACACAGTTTCAGGGTGTAGAATCTGGGGTACCTCAGCCTTCTACTGAATGTAACCACCCCTTGAGGAGAGAGGGGACTGTTAGAATTCCCCGCCAGTCCATTTGACAAGGGCTGGGCAATCTTCATTCTGCTTGGCGTAACTTATTCTTGTCTTTGGGCTACGGGAGAAAAACAGCTGTGCTGGTGATCCGGCTGCCTTCATTTCACCTGAGCGAGGCAGGCTGGGCCACGCTAAGTCTTGGAAGGTCACCCTGACCAGGGAAAATTTAACTCCCCTACAAATGGTCTGAAGAATGGTATGGATCAAATATGTAGGTAGACCTGCCTTTCAAATGAGGCTCTCCTGTTTGAAATGACTGTGTTTATAAAACTAGAGTATCATAAATAGACACTTGTCTCCTTTAGTCTTTTGGTATTTATTTGGGTTGTTTTAAAGACTGGCTAATGTACTGGAAGAAAATAATAAATAAGCTTTGATTTTGTATCAACACTCGTAAGAATATGCATGTTGTTGAAGGAACTCGGTCTATTTTATCCCACTCCTGAGGCACTATGGGTAGCAAGTAATGGTATAAATTGAAATGTACACACTGCATTTCTACATGGCAAGTCTTTTTATTTTTTTAGGTGCATATTGGCATTTTAAATGTTAATTATAATTTTGCATATAATATGTTTTTTAATAGTGTACTCAGTTTTTCTGGAGGGGCAACTTGTTTTGTGTTGTTTCAATTTAGAACATTTATGGCATAAACAACTTGCTTTTTAAATTTACTACATACTATTATAAGCATTTATACTTTCAGGTACATCTTATTTTTATTCTGGTGCCTAAGTGTCAAAAAATAAATATGTGGTAAAAATTCTACCTAGAAATCTGATTTTTGTGTATCAGGCTATACATTTCTAGTTCATGTTTTTATTTCCATGCACATGTCTGTTCTTAACAACAGCTGGACTTGGTATTTTCCAATTTAGATCAGGTTTTAGGCTGCTGTGTTTAAATTCAGTGATGCTAAACCTTGTAAAGTCAGGAAACAGGATGATGATTGTAATTCCCAGAGATGTTCTGATGTTGCCTTAAGTCCATCATCATTGTTTTGCCAAGACGAGGAAGTGCAAACCAAGCAGTGTAAGCCCTCATCTCCTTGATAAGGGAGGTAGACTTAATTTAATGAAATGGAGTATAACTGTTACCTTCTAGCTTGATTCAAACAACCCTTCTAGGTCTGTTTGTTTGTTTGTTTGTTTTTTTCTGTGTCATTTTATTGACCATGCAGAGTAGACCTTAAATGCAATTGTCTTTTGCCTTTTACTAGACCATGAGCTCTTAGGCAAGGAATTTGTCTGAGTTTACTTGCTTCCCAGCCTTTAATACAAGACCTAGCATAATAAGTGTGCAATAAATATTTTATGAAAGGATAAATTTATACTGGAAGAAAAGACCTTTATCAAGAATTCACTAGTCAATATTGGTTAGTGTCAGAGAAAGGCTAAGAAAATTAGGAAATAGAAAAAGTGACTAGTATTAAAAAACTACTTGTATTACTTTCTTCAGCAGTAGTGGGAAAGATGAGAAAACAGTCTTTTGTAGGAATAGTATAACTCTGGTTTCTTAATACAGAATAATGCAAATATCAATCACCATGTGTTTTTTTCTTTAAAACCTGGAGGCATGTTTTGTTCTATATTTAGCAGGAGGTTAATAAGAATTTATCAGGAGGGTTTTTACCAAGTGATACTTGTTTACATGTATATTTTAACTTTCACTTGGCATAAATGTTATTCAATTTTAGGCTCCTAATGACTGGTTTATACATTTATATAAAAGTATATTTCAGGGTAATAAAATAATTATTACACTTGATTATTTGATAGTGAAACCTGTTATTTTTATCCTTTAACCATAATGTATACTTTAGTTGGGAGTACTATTTAAAGGACCTAAATCAGTCTCAATAATATTATCTGTTTAACAAATAAATCCAAAACAATTGTGCAAACTAATGACGATAGCATATGGAAGTCATTTTTGAAAACCGTGCTTTGTGAGAGCTATGCTTTTTCAAAAGGACATTTTGTTCACTTCCAGTTACAGACAGCAAATGATGTTGTTGTGTTATGTCTGTAAAGCCAAGTATACAATAAATCTTTGGCTTATTTCTAGGCTCCTTCAACAATTATGATTTATTTAAAAATAATTGGACCAGTTTATGGGAATATCAACAGAAAAATACTGTATGAAGTCCAAGTTGGACATTAGTAATTTGCAGTGTAGCAACATGGTTCAGTCTTCACAGGTTGTTTTGGTTTTGAGTCAGCACCCAGCAGAGTTGCTGCCTTCCTCCCCAGGCCACTCATAGCTCTGACAGTAATGCAAGTGAGCAGTGTTGCCTGAAGATGTGCAACATCAAGAGGATGAAGTCAGTGACTTTTTTCCGTGTCTTTTCTCAGTCCAGATTGCTTCTTGGCCTAGCCTGACATTTAGGGCTCTGCCCTGTGTTTACACGAGTGCTGTAATTCTGTTCCCAAAAGAACACACTTCAAAGAAAAGTACTGAGGATCTGAAACAAGGATGGCTTCTGACATCATTGTGTTCTTCTTTTCATTATACTTGGGCATCTGGACAAAGCAACATGTTCACTGGAATTCTTGAGCATGGTTTGACTTCACAAATAACACTTGCTTTTCAATGACCTGAGGGGGGACCCTTGCCCAGTTATGTCCTGGCTGAGTTTATGTTTGGTGTGTGTGTAAACCAACACTGTCTGTCCCCAGGCCAAAATGGTATTTAAAGAAGAGTCATAATTCTAAGATAATTTGAAAACTAAAAATAAGCATGCATTAAAAGACCTGTAGAATGTAAATATAAGTTTTAAAAAGACTTAATAGGTAGTTGAAATTTTAAATGTAGTAAAGTTCAAAAAGATTCCCTAAGAGAGGAATGATGTGTTTCGGGTAGCGTTTTAGAAAATAGACCCGCGTGACAACTTCAGAGAAGTTTTGCAGTTAGGTTGCAGTGGACTGTGAACTCAGAATCTTCAACTCGTTTTTTGCTAATTGTCTCAATCCTCATACCAAGAGTAGGTACTGCCTACTAAAGAAGCACTTTTGAGCATTAAAAAGCTTCTCCTGGAGCCAACTTTATGTGTCTTCCCCCCCCCCCAGGGCGAGAGTGAAATCATTAAAAAAATAAAAACTTACTTTTAGAGATTGTCCTATTAGGGACCCAATGAAAGCCATTTAATTACCTGGCTACATCTTTAAAGAGCTAATTTTTTCCCCTCAGATGCTTAGAAAGATGTTAGCTCATTTTAGGTTTGTAAATTTCAATCATGAAGTCATATGCGGATAAAAAAACAATTTTTCTAATCTGAATAAATATAGAAGTTAATTTATTTACATAGGTTAGTATTTTTCTCTGCTATTGTTTTTATAGAAATATTTACATTATTCCCACTTATTATCAAATTAAGTAAAACATTTAAAATATATTAATATAAGCTTTGGGAAACTTGTAAATAACTTCAACAAATGTAATCACTTTCAATCATGTGTTTATTTTGATCCAGATTTTTCATGTGACTGACTTTAGAGAGAGAGAAAGAGGCATTGATTTGTTGTTCCACTTTATCCGTCCATACATTCATCTTTTGACTCCTGCATGTGCCCCAGCTGGGACTGAACCTACCACCTTTGTTGTGTGGTGACGATGCTCCCAGCCACCGACCCACTAGCCAGGGCCATTTCTGATTTTTATTTTAAGTCAACATTTCCTCTCTGGCAAAAAGTCATTTCTCAGGCTTTTGTAGGCTTTCATTGCATTTGTCGCATTTGCATAAACAGGGACAGCAGCCATGGTTTGAAGATTTTTTCAGGATTTCGTGCTTACAAACACTCTGCCCTATTGATCCCTTAAAATACACCTGTATTTTATGGATGTTGCATTCTACATTGAAAATAGGGTGTTTACTTGCCTGTTGAAATATATAATAAAGGACTTTATCATACACAAGGTTATACCTACAAATCTGGCTTTAAAGGACAGGAGGACATGCAGAGATGCATAGTCTTCCTATTAAATAATTCATCATGTTAAAGGAAAGGCATATGAAGTCAGGCCTCAGGAGATGACGGTGGGGAAATGGCAGTGGCCACGGTTTGTCTTGGAAATGAGGAAGCAGGAAAAGGAAGTGAAAGGAAACAGTAACTGTGTGTGGTGCCCTCCGTATTATCTCATTTAATCTTCAAAGTAACTCAGAGGCTTATTGCCCATTTTCACAGATAAGAAAATAATAAAGCACTGAACGATATACAAAGCTCCATTTGGGCGCCTCCATCTGCATGCCTTATGTCAAATTCTTGTCATACCTTTTTCCAAGGTAGATATCACTTGAATTATACAGAAGAGGAAAGTGCGCAGGTCTTAGGTTAAGGATTCTTCTCAAGGATATAAAGCCCCAGCGATGAAACCTGATTTTGGAAGAAGTCCACTTTTTAAAAAAGTTTTTATTTATGTATTTTTAGAGAGAGGGGAAGGGAGGGAGAAAGAGAGGGAGAGAAACATTGATCGGATCGGTTGCCTCTCACTTGCCTTCATCAGGGGAC